CGATCCCAGCCTGTGTGTGATTTCGAAGGTCTGCGACTGCGACTGCAGTCTGCTTTACTGACTTGCGAAACTTGAGAGGCTTCACGACAATATGACTTATAATTGCTATATCTTATGCCCTATTCGATTCGTGCATTTAACGTCAGATTAAGGATGCGGGGGTTTAAAAGCGGCTTCTCAGTCTGTCTGCTAATACTTTACAGACTAGAGCTTTTACCTTTTCGTATTAAAAAACAGTAGCTTCAGCTCCTTTCTTATGACGGATTGCAGATGACTACATGTGAAGTTACTTTCCTTGTAACTCACGCTGAAGAAGCTGTCATCATGTTTCATGTCAAACTGCCGTAAAGTCGAATCTCAATCAAGTCAAATATGGACATTACTGCCCCGCACCAACTTCCACGTTACCCTGTCGCGCCACGATGGTAGTGAACTATTTCCAAAGCTTTCTTACGGTCTGAATCGTTTGAAAAGACTGACTCAGTGCTCTCACTACTCTTCTGACGGTCACTTTTGTATTCATTGGCTTAGATGACTCCAACGCTAGTGGCCAACTGAAAATCGTCGTGCTCATTCTCCGTGAAGTAACACAGACATTGGTAGCGTCACACGTTCAGCTTTCACTCATATTTGAGTAAAACAAAGCTGCATATGTATTCGCGGTTACGGCTTGACAGGAGGCCCCTGAGATGCTGCGATACATGCAACAGATGGCGGAAACCGGCGGGCGAAAGTTGGGGCCCAAGGCTTCAGATGTCGCCCCAAGCTCCGACCTCATTTTAGCCTACTTTTTGATCTTCAAAGGAGTTCCCTACTCGAATCTCATCAAAGCATCGAGGCATTGATTTTGTAAGTCGATGTTTTACAGTAACCCGTTTGAAGATGAAGATGCTATCTTGGGCTCTCGCTGCTATCTTTAGAGGCTTTGAGTCTTTGTCATCTTTCCAATGCTACAGTTATCCAAACATAGTTAAAGACAAATTGTAAATGGAATCAGGTGTTATCTATTCACAAACACGGAGCCTGGTCAAATACCAGCTAATCGACGCTTAGCTTCTAGTAGAGATTAGCCTGCTCACGCGTATGACACTTCGAGGAAACCGAGTGTTTATAGAAATGACTTCAGAGTTGCCTTCATCGCTCTTGATACAAAGGTGAGTTCCTTTTCTCCTCCTGGATTCATTAATGAGAGAGTGGTAACGCTGACACTTGATCGGCTTTTGGAATTGATGAGTAAGTCCAATAATATAGCTTGTTCAAGGACATCAACTTAACAACTTTCCACAACAATCTGAGACCAAGTCATGTAAGCCAATTAATTTACAGGGAAAGAAAGTAAATGTGGCGATTTCAAGCCACGTCGTTCATCCCAAAAGGAGCGATTCTTTATGAGTCCGAACGGCTTTTTCGGTCAGTGCGCGAAGTGTTAATCCATCGACTGATGTGCCTTTTCGCGGATGCCTGGCTAATGCGACCCGTCAGCATGAGTGCGCCGTAAATAGGCAGAAAAGGATTCGGGTCACAGCAGGCATCCGTCTGACCTTGAGGCAGGATTACCTCGCTGCTGGACAGTCCAGTGCAAGAAAGTTCGGAGATTATAGAGGACGTTCCTTATTACAGGTCCTATTGGGGTACAGGATGCGACAACTCATACCCACCCTTGACAGAGACATTGGTAGATGGTAATACTGCGCCGCTGACGCGGCAGGGATAATAATACATAAAGCGTAATTTCCAGATCTGATTCACTTTCAGATTCATTAGGGACATCAAGAACAGACGCCGGCTCATTTTCCATGGCTTATGAGAGTCTAGCGCATTATATGCCGTGAGTCCCTCGCGACGTAATTTGGAAGCGGATGAGGGTATGAGATGGATCACCTTGAGAGCCAGAACCTTGCCCTGCTTTGTCTCACCGCGGCACGGTGGTGTGTGAGAGTCGATGCATGGTGCAATAAGACTTTTAACGATAGTAACTAGTCTCATCGGTTCCTCTAAATTTGCAAGACTTTCACTTGAGAAGAAAAGGGGGGTTGTGATCAGCGGTGAGGTGCAGCTACGTTCGAGAAGTGAGAGATGAGTGGGGTGATAAACGAGCGTGTGAGGTAAGATGACCCTAACGAATGCGGTAGCGATCTGAAACAGATAGTAGATTGCCTGCCTTGTAATGGCCAGAGAGTATGCCAGAAAACCACACATTCTGTGAGCGTTCAGTGCATCGAAGATTTGGAGGTACAGGGCTGGACTGGGCTGAAGGTCTGAACAACAAGGCCGTTCTCAATGAACTGATGCCAATAGATGGCAGCACGGCGAGGGTGCGCACGGGGCTTTCCACCCTAACGGATCAGAATAAGCAATGGCAGTAGCGCTGGAAATGTTCCATGTTCCTCAGAAATGGCCTCACAGTTTGGCCGGGAAGAGAGGTCTGGTCTCAGCTGCAAGGCACAGCAAGCTTTGTTCCTGCAGTCAGCTTAATCCCCTGTCGTTGCCAAGTGGTGATGGGCCGTTCCCCTCTTGGCAAGTTGGCAACAGGCCAGAGTCACTTGTCTAGATGAGAAGGCGGGTTCGGAGAAGCGTGAAGCAGTAAACGCGGGGGAGTGCGGCCGGCGCATTGTCAATTTGCGCTGTTTTCCTACGGCAGGTTTTTGCCGGAGCAACAGTGCAAAGTGCATGTGTTGTCGGTCCTGCCCCGACTTGCTCTTGGGAGCACACGTGCGTTGATCGCTGGTGGCTGGAAGAAGTTGGGTATGGCCCATGCCAACTGCACACGCTGAGCAGTGAGAATAGAGGATGGGAAGAGGCGACAATTGCCGATGCAGTTCCCTTTCCTCAGTGGTAAGGCTGATGAAACCAATCATATCCATGGCAATGCTACGCTGCTTTGTACGGGCTGAGAGCCTAGTGTCTTGCCCTTGCCTGGGAGGTACACAAGCTTCGGGACTGGTTCGGTGTCGGAAACGACCTAGCTGTGAGTGCGCTTTTCCGCGTTCCCTTACCGAACCCCAGTCCACAGGTCACAAGCTGTGTCAGTAGGATATCAATACGAGTACGGAGTACAGGTTGACCTATTCATAAGATGCTGTAACTGGCTCCACCTCAATCTGCCGTGGGACAAACCACTTGGAGGTATATGTTGTCAATTGAAGCTTGAAGGTCACTTACTACCCAACTGTGCTCCCCACGCTGTAGAGAGCAACGAAATCGAAGAGACCGGGGGTGGGCCGGCGGCCAGGGCGGACTGCGGGGGCCAACTCCGGAGACCCTCACGGCTCACGGCACAGCAGGAGGATGAGGCACTGCAGAAATGGGAAATAGACCATATGCAGAGACGGTCACAGAAGAGGCCGAGGGGCCTTTGATCGAGCATGACAAAAACAATGCGCAAAAAAAGAAGCAATGGAAGAAGCCGCTAATCCATGGCTCGTCTCGACTCCAGCCGGAGCTAGTAGGAACGGAGCAACCAAGGGCAACAAACGAGACTGAGACCAGCCACGCCGTCGCCACCCTAAGCTCCTCTAAGCTTTTCCTGATCCAAGTGCGATGTCAATTAGAAAGTCGCTCAGTCTCCCTTGCCCCCCTTGGTGCTCGGGAGTTGCTCACATTGCACCATTGGTACCACGCACAGCACATCGCAATGCGGTGTTCTCGGGGAACAGAGAGCTACTCTGCGCGTATTCTGGCGCATCAACGCAACGCAGCGCAACGTAATACCACGCCCCAATGGCGGCTGTGAACAAGACCCTGATGCGATAATAGGCGACAGCGATGATGGCTGATGTTGTTGGCCAATCACGCAGATTGCGTCCCTTGCATCAATCCCCTTCCGTAGGACCCCAATGCGCCAAGATTCGCACCCCGTCACACCTCTCGAGAAGAAAATTGCCGGACGACTTAGCCAGGTTCCCCCTCAAACCCCAATTGAGCACTGCGTATCCAAAGCACACCATATTTAACGAATTAAGGCGCATTGGGTCGGGCCTGCGCCTCAGCCGCCGCCTCCCATCTCTTGGGAGAAGACCGGGAGAAGTCAGTTATTGCTGACCGCCTCCAAAGTCCCTCCTTTCTCCAAGCCCCCAAAATGTCTGCCTACGGCTATCCCAAAAGGTACAAGTTTGTGGGTTAAAAAAGGAACCCGAGGATCTGCTGCCAAGTGCCTCGGGCGTAGACCGCGGGGGACTGTAATCTTGACATCCAGCCAGTTGGGATTTGCCAATGCTCGTATTGTCGCCTTTTGACCAGTTCATGCCCATTTCGAGTCAGGGGGTCACCTCGCAAATGTGTTTGAAGACCGAGGTCAAGCCTCAGAGTCCAAAAGCCCTGACTAAGAGTTCGAACACGATCTTCTTGGCTCTAATTTCTTCTTCGTCTGAGTCCTTTGTGATGATCACACCGACAACCGCTGTTCTTTCACTTCATGTTTGTTTGCCAACAGCATCCCCGCAAAACGGCCCCTACCTTACCCGTGTAGATGTGGTCATGGCGCAGCGCATCGACCCTTTGGCCGCTTTTGGTACACGCCGTCTCTCTTGCGACATCAAGCCGCAGCCCGTAGTCTCCCTCTACCTCACGAACAGGCACCCAACCTTGCCAGTCGCAAAAAAGATCGCGCTCTTACAGTCATCCACGCCATTCCCCTTGCTTCTTCTTGTCTGGATAGGTGCGAGCTTAGCGTTCAGAATGTCCTGCCTCCTCCATCTCGCCCGAGAACCCGGCCGCGGCCGTTGGGGGCGCGGCACACGGACGGGACGCCCGCTTGGGATCACCTCTTGCCCAGCCTTCTCCACGCGACGCTTGACGGGTTAGGCCAGCACTCTCATTTCCTTTAATCCCCGATGCTTCTCGTATATGAGAAGCCCTAAGGATTCTTCTTTTAGTACACGGAAACGTGGGTTCAGATATAAATGCAGCCATCCCACACATTTCGAAGTCGAGCTCGTAATAGCTCATCTGGTCGATCGTCTCACTGTCATTCGCTTTAACCACACCATCAAACCGCAAAGATGCTTGTTAGAGTACACTCTCTTTCTCTCCTCGCAGCATTTTTGGCCTGTGGCGACCTAGCAGCGGCTATCCCCCTCGAGTCAACGCCTGCTCTCAACACCCGAGACCTGCCCCGCCCGCGCTTCGGAAATGTCCCATACGGCGTTGATATCACTCGTTGCACAGTCAATGGCAAACTCGCCCTCAGCTTCGACGATGGTCCCGGAGAATACACAAGCCAGGTTCTTGACACGTTGGAGAAGAACGGCAACATTAAGGCAACATTCTTCCTCGTTGGCACGAACGGGAACAACGGCATCGCCAGTGGAACTTACACCTCCGTCCTGAAGCGGATGTTGAGCGCTGGCCACCAGCTCGGTAGTCACTCATGGAGTCACAAGGACTTCAACACAATTTCTAAGGACCAACAAATCCAAGAGGTTCTCCAGAACGAGGAAGTCTTTGCCAAGACCCTCGGCCTCATTCCCACCTACTTCCGCCCTCCTTATACTCATTGCGATGGCCAGTGTATATCTACACTCAACGACTTCGCGTACCACGTTGTATGTTGCACTTGCAGTAATGTAGCTCTAATGTTCCTCCAACTGACGTTCATGCGTAGACCGATTACAACCTTGACACCAAGGACTGGGTAGACAATGGTGTCAACTCGAAGGCTACCTTCTCAGGTGCCATCAATGGCGCCAGCCCCGCTAGTTCCTCCTTCATCAGCTTGGCCCACGATATCCACACATTCACCGTCAACGGCTTCGTCCAGTTCATGATTGACACGGCGAGGGAGAAGGGCTTCGAGTTCACGACTATTGGTGACTGCCTCGGCGACCCGGCCTCGAACTGGTACCGCGACCCTAAGACTGGCGAGCCGTGGAGCGGAGTCAAGGAAGAGCCCAAGCCCACTACGACCAGCAAGGAGATAATCATTCCCACCACGACGTCGACTCCTATCTCTAGCACGACGTCCCCTCCGGAGACCAAGACGCTCACGACAAAGTCTGAGTCGGAGACCGCCAAGCACTCCATCACCGTCAAGAGCGCTTCCGAGACTGAGGAACCAGAGATTGAGACTGCTACGCCTACTGCCACTGGCACCGGCGTCAAGCCTTCTACTGCGTCTAGAACCGTTGACGGTGGTGCCCACATTGGCATTCCGGTGACTCCTACCGGCACGACCGCTGCTGTGAGACCTACCAGCACCAATACTGTCGTTGAGGTCAACGCCGCTGGCCGTGCTGTCTTCTCTGCCGGTGGTGCCATCGCCGGTGCGATTGCTTGGGCCTTGATGGTTTGATAGTCGCATAAAGCACCCTGACCATACAGACTCGCCATGGGAAGAGGACTATAAGCTTCGTGTAATACTTTGGATAATCCCTAATCTGGACATCGCTAGGACGATCGGTCGTTTGAGAATGGGATGGAGTTAAGACGAGTACATGATACCACGCCATTGATGGAGTCGAGTTATAGTGTACTACATATTGCTGTATAGATGCGATCGCGAGACGATCTCGACATAAATACAAAAGCTTCGTTGATACTCCGTGTCAATTGCTTGAGAGGACACGAGTTGGTTCATTATGTAAGATCTTCGTGAAGCAGCACCAGATGATCAGGCATTTCAAGATCATCCACCCTGAAGACCATGTTCCCTCCATAAGAAGCGTACTTTAGTAGTGAAGGATATTCCATGCATCTCGTCACTGTGAGTGCTATGATATTGTCGTGCACATGCAGGCCGTCTGAAACTACCTCTTTTGTGGCCTTCGACGAAATTAAGTATTCGTTGCAATGTTACTAGAACTTGATTGCTGGGGCTGCATAAAGTATACGTCTGAATTCCAAGAACCCCGATAAACAGAAGCGTGCAAAGTATGGCTACAGAGAATAGTACAATGCGCTTCCAACGCGTCCTAAGGGGAGGTTAAGTGACCCTCCATCAACGAAAGCCCTCATAGTCTTAATAATATCGATCTCTTCGTTCAGCATTCAGAATAAACACGAGGCATCCAACCTGCGTCACCCCGCCAATTCCCCCATTGCTACCAGCGGGTCAAAGCATCAGTGGATTTCCCAAGCAACGAATTGTGGCGGAGACCTGAAGAGAAGGACTTACAATGCTTCCAGTCAGCTAACATAATGTCATCACAAGACGGTCCACCGGGACCAAGTGACCGCTGAATATCTTGGAAACCTTAGGAGGTGCGGCATCCGACCTTCCAGTTGACCTTGAAGTCCAAGTAAACCCCATATCTATCCTTGTAGCGCCATCGCCAGGTATGAAGGGGGTGATCTTGTACATCGTCTACGAGAGTGATGGTATCGCGTGCAATATCCGAGTCGCAGAATTGTTCTACGCCCTTATCGACGCCGTCGTGGTGCACATCCCGGTTGCGCTTGTACTCTTTGTAGGAAGGGTTATTGCATTCAATGAGGAAGACCTTGAAGGGTGTTTCATCTCCTCGAGGCTGGACCGGCGTGGAAGTCGGGCTTCTTGAGTCCGGCAGTTGGGTTTGTGGCCGAAGATTGCCTGAACTCTCTGGTGAGAGAAAGGGTGTGACTGTTGGCGGTAAGAGGTTTAGAGGCGATTTTGTGAGATAATTGAGAGTTGATGGGTGTCCGATTGAGGAAGATGATGTTGAGCTGGAGTTTGGGGCTAATTTGGTCCATGAATTTGAGGTCTTGAATTCGTGCATGACAACAGCATGGCTTGCGATGGCATAAAATACAAGCGACTGAAGAATTAAGTGAGCTAGCATGATCATGGGCTTTAGTGGAGGGTCAAAACAGAAGAATTCATATCGAACACAAGTTTTCGGAAGAACGCCTCCTAGTCTCCCCGCAAACCTAGGAAATAGGCTCTATATACGGAACGCTCTTTGAGTACTTTAAGGACGGAAGATTTGCTCGTGGGCTTGTAAGTCAATTGCCGAAGTCTCAAGCTTGTTCACTGCTCTGCCATACGCACCGTCCATGTTCTACAAGACCATTCTTCGGGAATTCCTTGCCGCGTTTGTAAGGCTCTTCTACAAAGCACTTCTCTTGCATTTCGTGAAACCCCAACACCTTACTTGCAAAATTGAATGCAAAATTAAAATATTATTCTCGATGTGTAACACAAACTCCAACCTAATACTCTAGTACCTCAGTGGTATCTATCGTGCAAGGAACTTCCCATTCTTCGAGGGTCCAGCCTCTCCCTCGACCTCCGGACGCTTGAGATCTTCCTCTGACAGCTGCTTCCAAGCCTCATGGACGTCGGCGAAACCTTCCAGGTGCTTCTTGAACGAGTCTTAGCACATGAAGTCAGGTAGCATCCAGTAATGCGAAAACACCTGATGGTTATCTTCAACAATGAACAGTCCGGGAATGGTCCGCATGACGATGCTGCAAAGAGGACAACACAGTTTGGAGATCCCAATGTACTTATCTATACGCGACTTAGTTGCTTGAATTCCGTTCTTGGGCTGTCTCTGCAGTGTGTAGTCGTCAAGAATTTGCATTTCACAGTGCGTCAGTCTCAACGGGGATCCATGTGTGGTAGGGACCTCTGGGCTCAAGGGGCTGCGATGGGATGGAACTAGACGCTGATGTTTATCGGAAGACACTTTTGGCGATGTTCTAGCAAGAACTTGAAAATGGTCTTCAGATTGATCAATGGCTCGGCAATAACTCTCAGGGATCGATTCATTTGTGACCAGGGGGTTAATAGCGTCTTCCTCCGTAATTTGATCGGTATGTTCCCGCGCCCGTTTGAGGGGGTTAGCTTTCCTTTGTCCGTCACTCCTCTGCAGCGGCTTTTTCGCTGTCTGGGGTTTTACTAGCTAATTGAGTACTTAAAGTGAGTCTTTGCCAGGATGCTGGTCGGCTACACTGTGCGAAGCGAGAAATTTCAAGAGGCTTTGCAAGCCTTGGTTGGCATTAAATCCTGACCTCATGCTGAACACGGACGACAACGTGCTTCAGAGCCAATGATTCAACATTGGCTAGCGATGTGTTGCCGTTCATCAAGTCTTTCAAGGTCTCCATGAACTCAATGTCTTCCTCGGTCAAACCATGATTCCTCGCTAGCCTAAAGTTGATGGTCCGCACTTTTTGAAGCTCATCTTCGTCGACATCACAGCCAACTGCGCCCACGTGTTTAGTAAACCTAGCTTTTGACCCCGCTGGTGGTCTGGAGAAAGTAACCTAGAGCTTTCTGCGTTGAATTGATGTCTTTCGTGTCGTCACCGAACTCATGCGTGCTGATGAATGCTGTTATTGGGAGGGACCTGGTAACATCCTACAACAACTCAAATCCCTTTCAGATGATGTCTAATATCTTGAGTAAGTCTTCGATTCCCTCACTTTTGAAATAGTCCAAGTTCCCGAGTACAGACTTGAATTTTATGTCTTTATCCTTGATTTCCAAGGCTCCTTCATTATCACGTTTTGTAGTACCACTCTGTGGCGTCGGCGGATACAAGATGTAGAGATCTCCATGATAAATTGGCCCTGACTGTGAAGCGTGTGGTATGGTATCTTGCGGTATCATGATGGGGTTGAAATGCGCGGGATAGACTAATGTTGTAATTGTTGCCTGTGCTGCAATCTCATCCTCATCTCGAATAATGTCTCATCTCGCCTTATGTAAGAATCTAGAGAGGACCTCGGAAGGTGCTTCAGACATCTCGATTGATCTGAATCAATGCAGAGTCATGTGTCAAAAGTGACCAGCGATTTGCCTCGTTTTCTTGCCCGGTAGTCTGGAAGCCACGATTCTCGCTCAAAGTTTCATATGGAACGACAGAGCTTCAATCTAATACTCTTCCTAACACAGCAAGATATATGTGACATTTCAGATTTACATAAGGCTATAGAGGAATGACAATGAAGTTGTTCTTGATTGCAAGATTACTCTGAGGCTTTTAACCTTTGCCACACACGAACGCTAACGTAGATACTCCATAGAGCCATTCAGCTGAGATACGTGAAGGCTGAGTTGATTAGTCTCTCCATCAGACGTGCAACATCATGGCTTGATAGAATCAATGGCTATACTTTACTGTACCGATGCAGTTGGACGATGTCTTTCGTTCATTCATAATGTTGACACTAATTCAAAGATTCGCTAAGCCTATCATACAGAAGTGAAGATATATGCGAAAAGAAAAGTGCCCTCGAGAGACAAAATCTTGTACGGATAAATATGGGATATGATGACTCAGCAGTGATAGATGAATGAAGTCTATATATGACATTATGGGTATAACTAATACAGATGACCGCCCAAAGCCCAACCCGCTATCGTTAACAGAGCACATTGAGAAGTTGCCTCCCCATTAAACATAAGAGATCTGATACTGCAATGTAGAGCCCGATGTCTCCGTAGGCCTGATCAGTAGATTGGCCGATATCCGTCAACGGTCCTTCAAGCAGGCTGCTGACAATTGGCTCTTGCGCCTAGCGAAAATGTGTTTCACATGCTGCCCACGCTCTGTGCCCTCTCTTTCTCAATTGTATCGATCGAAAGCGGCCTTCCATTGACCTTCTTCACTCCCGAGTGACCTTCCATCTCCACAACGACCGTTGTTACTGTCTCCATCTGGATGCCTTCCATCTGCCCAGCTCGTCTCCTTAGAGACTCCTGGCTGATGCTCCGATGTGCTCCACTGCGACGACGATCTCGCTTCATGTCACCCGCACCACGTCCCCGGCGGAATAGCTTCCAGAGCCAGCCACCGGTACCCTCATCCGCAGACAGGTTGTTAGGTGCACTTCCAGCGCCCTGTACCCACACCATGTTGCCGTAACGCCGGTTAGCCGGTGTTCGCATGAAGGCGAAGGTCTCGATACCTGTCTCTTCGAAGTCTGGGGAGGCATTGAAGATAATGACATGACGAGTGGTGGAAAATAGCAGAACATCAAGCCAGCCGTTGGATGCAATCATTGCACCGGCGAGGCAGAAGTAATCCAAGGAAACAGACTTTCCAGCCATTGTGATGACACGACCTAACGCCAAAGGTGCCGTACACAGGATGTAAATTATGGGATAGATGAGGAAAGCAGGGTGATGTCCGGCGTTGCTTGGATTGGACGCCGATGCAGCTTCGCCATGGGAGCTCTTTGGTGGCCCAGACTGGGACATTGTGTGGGCGTGGCTGAGTTTACGACCACGGTTGCTCTGGGAGGCAGAAGACGTTGTGTTGTTGGAAGAGGAGGGTAGTTGAAGTGATGGGTCGGTGCGTCGGATGTGGTTGAAGATGAGTATGTAGAGGATCGCAGTGATGAAGAAGGAAACGAACATCCACAGGT